ACAAGGCCATGTTGTAGAAGCTATTGAGACTCTGACTGCTTTGTGCTTTAGAAACTTCGTAAAGATTCATATGTGGGGTTATCAGGCCCTTTAATTTTTTTCACTGCGCTTCCTGGCTGCTCTCAATTTGTTGAAGCCAATTGTTTCCAAACCCGCCAAACACTGAGACGATTTCGATATTGAAGTTGCTTGGCCCTGGCCCGCCACCCGCCACACATCCCCACACATAAAAGAAAATACACTGCAAATCTTCACGTCACTAAGACATGTTTCTAGCAACCCACTTGGTTCTTCCTTCTTGCAACTGCCTTCTCATGTTTTTTTCTGCGTCCAGCATCTGGAATTGTTTAGAGACCTCCATGCAAAGGACAAAAGAGCATCAATCACGACTTCACAACTCTTCAGAGCTAGCTAGCTTTCCTGGGTTGCAGTTGCAAATTCAAGTCCTGCAAGAGTTTCCATTGGTTTGGTGTGTTTCGACTGGCGGTAGAGTGTACATACACTGCTACTGCACACTGAAAAGCAGATCATTTTGTCCTGCCAACGTATCATAAAAGGTACTCACGTCATAATGGCTCAGGCCACCACTCTCTTACCAAATATTCAAGCCAGTGTTACCCATGTTAACGATTCTTTTCGCCAGCACGCTTATACATCATGTTCAGTTGTCCACTTCCTTCAATCTGGCATGAAATCCGACCATCTACACCCACGCTCAGCTGTGGCTGTTCGCCGTTCGCCCCGAGAATGGCTGGCTTAGGCATGCTTAGGCAAAAATGGCTTGAATATGCAAAATTTTGTTTTTGTCTCCAAACATCGCCACAACTTCACAAGATAATCCAAGCGACTTGTTTTTGCCAAAATTAAATTTCAAAATGAAAGGTGTGGCCTGATACGTCCGCGGGGTCGGAGACAAGACCAATTCCTGAGGTGACAGCCACATTCCGGGGCTTTGCTACGAGCTTCTGGCGGAAAATGCCGAGCTCAGGCAGCGGCTTGGGTACGCTTGGGTGCTGGAGTTTCAACACGCAGCCCTCATCGTCAGGAAGATGTGCAACGCCTACCAGTTGAAGGTCCTATTGTTGAGTTCCGAGGAGCTTAAGAACGCTAGAGATAGGGCAGTTCAGCTTACGAGAGGTTGACATAGGTTAGCTTTGACTGGTCGTTCAGTCTCGCATGTGTTGAAGGAAGGCAACGAGAAGGCCTTGGCCACATCCAGTTAACAGATGAAGAAGCTTGGTTGGTCACAGCCACAGCGCTCTTTGTTGTCGCCAGGCAGTTCGCATGCTAAATTTTATTTGTGTTGGTGTTTGATGCGTACTATTTGTGGTGGCTTTAGTGGGAGAAACAATTGGCTTCCTTTGGCCCAGGCTTAGGCTTAGACAGTACAGTCCTCCACTGAGACTCCCCGGGCTTTGAAGCTGTGCCTAGATTCTGTTTGGTGCGTTGTATGATCGCTGGACAAAGAAGTCGAATTGTCCAGGTCGCCTTATTCGCTGATTCCAAAGTAGTTCTTCTGTCACCAATAAGTAGGCTAAGAGGGCAAAGTGAGGCGTCCTGAAGGTTTGCTCTGTTGTTTTCCGAATATTTGGCACACGGCTGGAGCAGCATGACTTGCTGCGATTTCAATAGTTCTTCCCTGGTGGACAATCAACAAAGATTGTCGTCATCAATTCCTCTCAAGCCCAGTATGTCCATGCAGCTGAAAGCAACCATGCATGGATCAAGGTTGACCAGTACATGGACCCCTTATTCGGTTATTGCTGGGCAGCTTGTCCAATCGTCGATGTTTTTTGTGCATTTGAAAGCTCTCTCACCTGTAGCAGTGAGTAGTGGTGCTTGTTTTTGTTCTTATAGGCGATAGGCTCCCCGCACCATGTTTCAGATTGATTCGCTGTTGTCAAGAGCCTGTACTTGTCGCCATGTTGCTTGGGTGTTTTTTGTTCGCAATATGTTCTGTTATTTAATCTTATGTATCCTTATGTACTATTTCTTCAACAAGTGCCAGTTGTGTCGTATCATTGTTGCTTGGATTTAGGGGTGCTTGTTGTGATGAGCCTGAGCCGAGCAGTTTATCAGGTTGTTTGCATGAGGATCTCTTCAATGTCGCTAGTCTCGAACACGTCAATGCTTTCAGGGGGTTTGAATCAACGCCGGAACGCAAGGCAAAGATATGTTTGATTGTCGTCGCGTGATCTAAAAGCGCATGCGCGTGTTGTTGTGTTGCATTTGTTTAATATTGTTTGATGTTGTCTGTGTTTGAACTGTCTCAATTCCTTGGTAATTTTGTAGTGTCCAACTGGGCGACCACTACTAGATGATTTGAATGATCTGCTCGTGTTACAGTTTAACCACCACCTTGCATGCCAGCCCCCTTGCAGCATACAATTCCTTGACAAAATTACACTAGCATACACCCCAGATAGCGGCCGTATAGTTTAAATGACACGCCACGGACGGCTGTCACCGCAACAGAAAACATCAGACCAGTCCACCAATATGCACAAAATCTATCAGCTGAATGCGCCCGCTTTGCCCAACACGGACGTAAAACTCTAAAACTGCAAGATCGGCGAGGACCAGCCAAGGCTGCCCACACGACATGATGATCATTGCTGCACAACACGGTGTTACGCGCAATATGACGGCATGCCTGGCATGACATGATGTCAGCCCTGGCATGACATGATGGCATTCTGGGCATGGCATCATGTCACCCCTGGCGTGGCGTGCTGTCATTCTGGGCACGACATGACGTCATCCCTGGCATGACATGCTGTCCTGGTGGGCATGAGACGATGTCATCCCTGGCGCCAGCACCAGCACAGCAGTAGCACCAGCGCGACAGCAGCACCTGCACCAGCATCAACACGGCAGCAGCACCCGCAAACTGAAAATGCCGATCCAGAGTCACACCATTGAGAAGTTGGAACGCCTATGGCCTGCAGCTATCTGGGGCAATACGCTTGGAATGGGGGAGTCGCAGCCCTTTGTTGCCGATGATGTTCCATCTTTGGGGGTGTGTAGTGTGCTTTGTCCATCTCAAAGTTTTGGAAAATGAAGGGATACATCTAGAAGATCATTTTCTCTGAAATGGTATGTGAACAGGGGGTGCCCAAGTAGCGGTTGGGGCCAACACACAAAAGACACCACTAGATTTCAAAATCCCACACACCCCACAAACCCGTAGCCTCTCCACAATACGTGTAATTCTTGGCCGTGGCTGCCGCTATTGGAGCATTGCACCCCATCGTATGCATACATTTGGCCTGGGTTCTTGACCAGTTTCCTGCTTTGCTCTGTTTCATACATTTTGCAAGATTTTTGTTGGCCCTGCCCCCGTGTTCACACAATGGCAGCAAATGCGCAAGAAATGTAGATGTGCATAGGTGAATACGCCCCCCTGCGCATACAATTCGGGTCTTGACCCCCCCTACATATCCCAAAACCGGTGGAGGGAACAAGGAAACTTATGCATTAGAAAAAATATGTTGTGACGCCCCCTCCCTTTGTAGAGTTGGACCTGGTGATGCAGTACCTGTATGTGGGGTGCACCACATACTCAACATTTGCATTTGGTTCTGAAGCGTTTCCGCTGCAGAAGCAACTCATGCTTTCAGCTGACAAACCACAGATACATGCGTTACATATATCTTTTCTCATTCCGCGCAAGATTTGGCTAGCATTGAGGAGTTGATGCGTGTGTCACCCGTATCTCACCTCCAACGAGGGGTCGCGAGTGCCAACAGAGGCATAGAAGCTAAGCCAAGTGAACAAAGAATCATGTCAACGTCTTGGTTGCTTGCAAACTGTTCTGTGATTCATATGCCATTGTAATCGGCCTGCGCGTGGTATGCGCAGCCACTTTCAAGAGATGCAAAGTCATGATGCCCAGTGAAATCAGCAGCACACATATATGTATAGCCCACTATCAATAGATGACTCCAGGCCTCAACATACACGCCCCAGCGCAATCACTTGACTCAAGAAACTTGGACGTGCGCTGGTGAAAAAAACAACTTGGTCTTTGCCCCGGGACTTGCCCGCATACAGCAGTGTCACCTGTATCGCAGGCTCCTTTGGGGGCTGGATTGTCCTTTTGCATTTTACACATCTTACTAGGCGCATTCAGCTTCAATCCAAGTGAAAGTGAAGAGGTTCCTGACATATATACTTTGATCAATCTTGTCACTGAAGTATAGACAAGCACGCTGCTTACCTACTGGCAATATACTAGCGACATCTAGCGACCTTTCGTTCACCCTCTCCTAATGCTCGTCAAACGAATTCATTCAAGATTGGTCTAACTGAGTAACTGTGACTCACACACTTATTCACGCCTCCTCAATGATCCAAAGTGACAGGGTGATCTTGAGCTGCTAGTGCAGGAACTCAAAGTTTGACGAAGTGTTAGAGTGTTTGCTCTCTTTTCTTGGCAGGTTGAAAATGCTAAACTGATATATATATATATATGGTAACAGTCACCTCTATGATCTACCTTTCTACTTCCTCTACTTCCTCAACATTTACAACTTTGACAACTTCTACAATCTTGGTTGAGAGCTTTTACTACAACTTGAAATCTCTAACATCCACAAACCTGGCAAGTTTTACAACGTTTAATACTTCTACAACTCACAACCTGGAACGAGTTTGACACTCTTGACAACCACCACAACTTCTTCAACTTTTACAACTTTGTTACTCTAACTTTTACGATGTTGACAACTTTGACAACTTCAATAATGTTGAGTGAGAGCTCTTTACTACAACTTCTCATGTCAAACAAATACAAACACAGCAACTTTTACGACTGTTGCAATTTCTACAACTTTTACAACCTATACAACCTGGAAAGTTTCGGGCACTCTGGACAGCTTTTACAACTTTGTCAACATTTGCAACTTCTACAATGTTAATTGAGAGCTTTTTACTATGTGTTAGGCTTTTTTACTATAACTTGAAAATTTTAACATCCACAAACCTGGCAACTTTTATTACTTCTACAACTTTTACTACTTCTGCAACTTTTACAACCTGGAACGAGTTTGACACTCTTGACAACCACCACAACTTCTTCAACCTTTACAACTTTGTTAACTTCCACTATGTTGACAACTTGTTTAATTTCTTAAATCTTGAACATATACAACCTTGACAACTTTTACTACTTCTACGACTTTGACAACTTTTCAGATTAGAAACTTGAATATGTTTTCAACTTTGACATTGTATTTCAACTTAATACTTCAACTTGGTTGCGCAAGTTTTGAAGGTTGCAGATTTCAGCCGTCAACATTGTAGAAAGTTTTGAAGTTGTAAAAGTTGTGAAAGTGGTCAAAGTTGTAAAGGTTGTCAATGATATCATACAAAACTCTCAAAGCGGTAGAAGTTGCGAAGGTTGTTAAAGTTGTAAAAGTTGAAAAAATTACAACATTGCAAAATTGCCAAGCACTATCAACTACCACAACTCAAAATGTTTACTACATGTAAACAATTGCGTTCGTGCATACGTGGTTGTTGTTTTCTTTCTCTATTTTTCCATGATAACTATTTTAAAGTTTCTTTATGTTGATACATGTCTTTTATTATAGAAAGAAAAATATATTATATAGAACATATATATAATATATAATATAATACTATATTATACATAATTTAAAATAAACAAGATAGAACCCACGAACCCGAATGCAAACACGATCGAAAAACTAATATGTCCAAAGGACACTCTTGTAGGACACTCTTGCGGGACACTCTGTAGGACACTCTGGCCACTCTTGTAGGAAACTCTTGTGGGACACTCTTGTAGGACACTCTTGTGGGACACTCTTATAGGACACTCTTGTGGGACACTCTTGTGGGACACTCTTGTGGGACACTTTTGTGGGACACTCTTGTAGGACACTCTTGTGGGACACTCTTGTGAGACACTCTTGTAGAACACTCTTGTGGGTCACTTGCAGGACACTCTTGTGGGCCACTCTTGTAGGAAACTCTTGCGGGACACTCTTGTAGGACACTCTTGTAGGACACTCTTGTAGGACACTCTTGTCGGAAACTCTTGTGGGACACTCTTGCGGGACACTCTTCTGGGACACTCTTATAGGACACTCTTGTGGGACACTCTTGTGGGACACTCTTGTAGGACACTCCTGTACGACACTCTTGTAGGACACTCTTGTGGGACACTCTGCGGGGCACTCTTGTGGGACACTCTTCTAGGACACTCTCGTGGGACACTCTTGTGGGACACTCTTGTGGGATACTCCTGTAGGACACTCTTGTGGGGCACTCTTATAGGACACTCTTGTGGGACACTCTTGTGGGACACTCTTTTAGGACACTCTTGTGGGACACTCTTATGGGACACTCTTGTGGGACACCTTGTGAGACACTCTTGTGGGACACTCTTGTGGGTCACTTGCAGGACACTCTTGTGGGACACTCTTAGGACACTCTTGTGGGACACTCTTCCTAGGACACTGTTGTGGGACACTCTTGTGGGACACTCTTGTAGGACACTCTTGTGAGACACTCTTGTAGAACACTTGTGTGGGTCACTTGCAGGACACTCTTGTGGGACACTCTTACACGACACTCTTGTCGGACACTCTTGTAGGACACTCTTGTAGGAAACTCTTTTGGGACACTCTTGTGGGACACTCTTGTGGGACACTCTTATAGGACACTCTTGTGGGACACTCTTGTGGCACACTCTTGTAGGACACTCTTGTAGGACACTCTTGTGGGTCACTCTTGTAGGAAACTCTTGTGGGACACTCTTGTAGGACACTCTTGTGGGACACTCTGTGGGACACTCTTGTGGGACACTCTTGTAGAACACTCTTGTGGGACACTCTTGTGGGAC